TATAACATAGTCACTTACATTATAAAGTCTCGTATTAAACAGCTTTATGCAGACTAAAAAGAGAATTGGGTTGAATTAAAAACATTCTTATACGTTTTTCTGAAAAAATTGTGTTTTTTGTAAAGTTTTGAGGTTACAAAAACAAAGAAGACTTACAAATATTTTTCCGATATTCCACATTAATTCACGAGTATGTTCTAACAAAAATCATTATTTTATCTTAGCTCGTTCTTCAGATATTTGATTTTGAAAAAAAAAAGATCAAAATACCCGTCTGTGCGATATAGCCCAACGGCAATGTACGTTTGTGTGCAGATTCCAAGATTACAGTTAACCCTCAGTTGAAAACAATACGCTTTGCACCGCTCAACTTCGATCATGATATCGTTTATTTACAAGCAAATGAAAAAAGAGAAACAGAAAATAATAGTAAAAAAGAACGTTAAAATTTCAACGTTCTACGAAAGTCAATTTAAAAGACGTGTTTTTAGAAGTTTTGTCAGACGAAGAATCCCAATACCTTTGAACCATAAATATACACTTAGGTTTATTCAAGTGTTTGTAAATGATGTATGGTATAGCATCAGATCTGAGATTTTTTTAAAAACTATTTAAGACATTTTGAAAAATATTGATGGAACAGCAGCCGTAGCAGACGATGTGTTAATTACAGGAAAAACGAACAAAAAACATTTAGAGAATTTCGATAAGGTTTTACCGCGTCCAAAAGAATATGGACTAAAAATGCGTGTACATAAATATCATTTTTCTAAAAAAGAGATAAGTTATAGATTATTCAATGGTAATATTAGTGTAGACAAAAAAAGTACAAAGTGATTGTTCAAATAAAAACACTGTCAAATCGCGAAGAATTACGATTATTCTGAGGTAAAATAGAATACTATGATGGACTATTTAAGAATGGAGTGGACATTTTAGAAGTTTTGTATAAATGTATTAACTTTGTGAGGTTTTTTGTTAGAAAGCTGTCAGAGAGCGTTTGATAAAGTAAAAGTTGAATCAAAACGTGCCGTAATTAATTATAACCATTCTTTCCCGTTAATTATCACGTGCCATGCTTTAACGCATGGTTAAGGAGCATATATAAGTCAACCCCATGCCGATGGAGAAAAACAGGTAACATTTGCGTCAAAGCGTTCAACGAAAGCGCAAGAAAGTTATTCGCAAATTGATCGAGAAGCTGCAGTGATTATTTTTGGAGTTATAAAGTTTTATGATTACCTTTATGTGTGACAATCCACTTAGAGAACTAAAAATAAGCCTTTGAGCAGAATACTTTTACCCGAAAAGGATTTTTCAAAAATGGCTGCGAGTCTTTGCAAAATTGGGCCTATTTCCTGTCAGCATTTAATTACTATATAGAGTGTATAAGTGCCAAAATAATAATACTGAGTACTGTGAAATAAGAAATACGGAAACAAACACATATTTTACACTATGTATAAAAAGTAAAATTGTATGCTTAGATCATAAGATGATTATGCGAGAAACAGCTAAGGATTAAAATTTAACCAATGTCAAATGGATGGTAATCAATGGGTGGCTGCAGTGCCAGTTAAAACACTATTAAATTGAATTAAAAGCGTATGTATTAAGAAAAGACAAAATTACAATTGAAAAAAAGTTTTTGATGTGGGATCAACGCCTAATCATCACGTTAAAACTACAAAAATTAAGTATAGAAAAACTGTATGAAACTCATCTTGGAATTGTAAGAATGAAGAATATGGCAAGATTGGTTGTGTTGTGGCTGGGTATTGACAAAAAACTATGAGAAAAGGCAAAATATTGTAAGCTTTATGTGATACTTAAGCGATACTTCAATTAAAATGAAAGTATCACTTTGGCAGTGATCCAATATACCTTGGCATAGAGTACATGTGGACATCAGAGAATCGTACTTACAACATAAATTTTTTTTATTCAATGATGCATACTGAAAGTGGCCTGAAATTTATATTGTAAAAAATATGTCAGCTGAACACAAAATTAATATCCTATGTAAAATTTTTGTGCAACATGAATTACCGTTACATATTATTACCGTCTCGGGTACACAATTTAAAAGTGCTGAATGTCAAGCTCATTTTAAGAAGTTAGGTATACAGCACACTTATTCAGCTCCAAATTATCCAGCAACTTTCTAGAGGGTTTTGTCAAGACAAAAAAAAATTGAAACTCACAGTCGAAAGTCAGGGTTGTGAGCGTACTAAACGCAATACAAAATTTTTTTATCTGATTACAGAACATCGAAACATATTATAACAAACGAAACGCCAACAAAATTATTGTATAACTGAGAACTGTGAACACTTTTGCAATTACTTCGTCCTGATAGAAGAACAAAAAAAAGATGCACAAGTAAAAAATTTTATAGGAAAAAGAGATGATGAGTTTAATACAGGACACGTGGCAATAGCAAAGGATTTTCGGGAAAATCATTCAAAAATTTCAAAAGCTGTCATAGTACGTAAAATTTCTCCGAGAAGTTGTGTAGTTGAATTTGAGAAAAATGGAGAGCTTAAACTACATTATGATCAAACAAAGTGCCGGCGTCGACTCGATAGTAATTGTGAAATAATAGGTTGTGAAAAGAGCGTATTAAGATCAACACGGATAAAAAAGTCTGTTAAACCATATAATGTTACTTCTTAGCTTTGTTAATAATGAGCGTACCTCTTTTTTTTGTTATTTTCCAATATGCTCTGGAAAAAAATTCAGAATGGGAAAGTGTGTAGTATATACAGATTAACACATATTGACGCCCCAGACGAAGACTATGCCCTGCTTCAAAGCCTGGACGAAAACTATGCCGTTTCCTAAGTCCGAACTAAAAAAACTATACCTTCTACCCAAGTTCGAACAAAAACTATGTTTTTTTGGATTTGGTCCTGGATGAAAACTATGCCCTTTTCCGGAATTCGAACGAAAACTATGCCCTTTTGTCTAGTCCGGGCGAAAACAACCGTGAACGCTAAAAATAATATAGATTTTATGACAAGGGTTCAGAGATTATACTACTATTGTCAGGATGAATGTTGTATCACCTACAGATCAAAAATGTTTTTTCTTAAAATTACTTCTAAATGAAGTAACATAACCAATTTTATTTAAGTTTAAGATACTATAACAAAGATCATAATACTAATAAATAAGCAGCTATAACTATGGTGTTGATTAACGTGATTCACAAATTTCACTGATATTTGGAAAAAATGGCAAAGTTGTGTTACCTTTCCATTTAAGAAAACTTCGTACGTGGTTCATTTTACCTAAATAAATTAAAGCTTATGTTGTTAGAATCAATTTAAAAAATATTTTATGGAAGGTTTCATTGAAAACAAAAAAAATTACACATTATTAATTTTTAATGACATATTTAAATAAGAGAATAATCTTGCATTAACTTCAGTTCACCTAAGCCAATATTAGATACCACGTGAACAGAAAATTATGAAATCAGAAAAATAGATGTTGAATTAGGTAAAAACTGTTACAGCGTCGACTAAAAGATGTCGACCAAACTAAAAATAACATATAATTTAATTTTCATTCAGTTTGATTTTCCAGTTTTGAATTAAATAAATAGAGCCCCTTTATTACATGAACTACATTTAATAGTTGATTTAATTTTAATGTTTTTACAACTGATTATACGTTTCCTGTCCGAGAAGTTAAAATCTAGGCAAAAATATACGTTCAAAATGTGTCACACAGTAAATTCAAGATAAGAAATATTGTTTATAGATAAACAACACAGGACCACAAAAAGAAAATTTCACGCACAAAGACGCCTTGTTATGTACTATGTGTTTCTGGAGTCGCTGAACATAAATCTGATGTCCAAATTGCTCCATCACGTCACATTTTTTTTTCTTACCTAAAAAATAAGTATAAATCAATGGATGTGAAATAAACTGTTTTGCAAACGTAAATTATGTCGATCCCACAGATAAACGTACCGTGTAAGATTTCCTGTATTTTGTAAGTTCTTGTCTCAATATCGTATGGTTTTATCATAAGTTTGCATTTCTAACCTCAAAAAAACAACAAAAATAGCCATTTTTCAGTCTAACAAAAATTTAACTAATTTAGACGCATGTATCTCACTTTCTCAGGAGGGACAGGTCAAGATTATTTATTTTCTTTTTTAACTACATTTTGTTAAACACCTAACCTAAAAAATGCACAATTTCACAATTTTTGCAGTCAATTTTTGTGTTTGATCAATTCCCAATTGTCATATTACATGTTTATCTGAACGCTAGTGTTTTCAATACTCACAAATGCAATATTAAATGTATTCAGTAATTTAATAAATTAAGTACATAAAAAAAAAAGTTAGAATGAACTTTTCAACCATGTACAAAAACTGACACCACGCTAGTAGCAAAATAATGATGTGGATTACTGATTAAATACAATACTATACTATAGTTCATTCGTCATGAGACGCGTGGGAGAGGTTTTAGTTCTAGTTATTTCCACATGATGCTTTTTTACATTATAGAATGGTGCTAAATTTTCGTGGTTTTCTTTTTAACACGTAAAATAATAGAGGTTTTAGTTTCAACTTTAGCCACTTCATTTAATTTTTTAAGGACTCTTCGGTGCTAGTAGTCGCGTCTCATGACGAATTGGTAAAAAGGGAGGTTGCATCATTAAACTACAGTGTTCGTGTCATCCCTTACCGGAAATCATAAGAAAATGTACATTTTACTATCTTATAAGAATTCACTGCCATAATTACATACACCGCATAAATGTTACGGCAATATCATTACGGCATACTTTTTACAATGCAATAACAACTTTTTTTTAAATAATAATTATGTTTTTTTTTATTAAGAACAAAGTCAACAATAGGTTTACAACCTGTATCATGCACTGAAATCTCTCCTTTAATGAATTTGTTTAGATTTATTTTTAGTGCGATAAATTGATCTACTACTTGAAAGAAAACGTTAATTTTCATAAACATGCACAAAACTTCAGATAGAAACAGTTTAAGTCAGTAAATATTCAGCTCAAACGGGCTTGATACTAGATACATTACCAGTCTTGGAGCTGGATACTACAGCCGAATAAGAAATTATTCATTTACTCGGTTAAAAATACTTATTATTGATTTTTTGAGTCAAAAAATGTACCCTTAGAGTAAATGACGTAAACTATTGATACCAACTAAAATCACGATAAAGTAATTTAGTATGATTCTAATATTACATGATTTTACTGAATGTTGTTCTTACATTGTCAATAATAGGGCTATCTACCCGTCCGGGAAATATTATGAAACTGTTTGCGTGTACCTCCTATAACTGTCTCATATTAAACAAATACATTTTTCACGTAAATATATTTTTTATTATCTGAAAAAGCATAAAATAATAAATAATTATAGGGTAGGCTCGTAAAGCGTGCAAGGGGGGTATGTATACATATTTTGACAATGCACTTACTTAAATTAGGTGCCTTTCCATTCAGGCAAATAGCACAGCTATACTATTTGTCAATATTCAACATTGATATAATTTTTACTGTTTGTGGTATAGAGAATGCATGAGCAGTCTCAAGTTATTTATTCTAAATCATACATTTTTTATTTAGAACTGTTTAAAATACAGCGTCTTTAGTCTTAGTATGGAAAATAAGTTAATATTTTAACTAAAATTAATTTACTAAAATTGTTAAATTTCCAACAGACAGCCATTACAAATTACCAGATTGGTTGATAGAAGTCATTGAGGATCTGGATTCTTGTATAGCCCAACGGCACTTTGAAGATGCAATCGACTTGTTGAAAAAATCAGAAGAATATCTTGATAACAGTCGAGATAGTATGGAGCTGTATGATATAAAGTTAAGTCTAAATAATAGAACTACTTTTTTAGTTCATACTCTTACAAATGAGTTAGAACTTATTGCAGAATCCAAATCCCTTCAAGGAGGAGGTTATAGATTTTCAAAAAAAGCCGTCAAGTTATTAACTCAACTACATCGTTGCACCCAAGCTTCTCAATTATACTTAATGGTATGCAGTGCCACATTAAAAGCACGATTGGAAAAAGTAAAAAGAGATGGTGCAACATCTTGTTACATTAAAAGATTGAGCTCAATAGCTATCAGCAATATATCAGAAATGTTATGTGACTTTCTAGATATATTTTCTCACACCAAAAAATGTACCTCAGGTAAAGGTTAATTTAATTACAAAATGAGATTTTGAACGTTTATAAAATTTTGTCATATTAAATGAATGTAAGAGTATGAGCTATGTACACTATTTAATTAAACATTGTAGTAACGCGTGATAATCTCGAGTTTTTATCATTAGATTTTTCTGTTTGCTAGCACCCTAATAACTAAGAATCACTAATTATCCTAATTAAAAATTGTCTGTGCTTAAGTCCCATGCATATTAAAAATTTAAAAACTTTTTACTGACTTTTAAATGTCCTTAACCTTCACAAAGTTTGCTGCAAGAATACACTTATTCCAAAGTATTTACTAAATTTTAAAAGCTTTAATGTATACAAATCATTTCAATGTTCTACAAAAGCCAGGTATGAAGTCCCTTAAATTCAAATTTTTACAAAAATTTAAAATCCTTATCTTAGACGTTTAGTAAAAAAAGTCTAACAAGTAAAAGCAGAATCATTACCTGTTTCTATTAAAGTATATCTGGTACTGCTTGAATAATGTTCCATGTTTCAGTAAAATTTCTGGAAATAAAAATTTTACGTTGCCAAATAAATATTCACACATGTGATTTGTTAATAAAAGGAAGATTCGAAAGAAAAGAAATATTATTATTCAATTCAGAGGGGACCGCTCATCCCAAACACTTTTTTTTATCATTCAATATTCTTAAAACTTCTCTCAACTTCCAATAGTGATAATTAAGAACCATTTGATAGCATAAATTCGTTTACCATTTAAGTAAGTCATACTTTTTTTTCTGACATTTAAATGGCCACAAAGATAATTTATAATATTAACTTTTTAGAAGGTTCTGGTACAAAATAAAAAATATTAGGTTATATTAAAAAAAATTGCATTCTTTTTAAGAACATTATATTTGCATATGAATTTTACCAAAATTCTTATCCAGACATTTTTCGAGAAAAAAATTATTGAATTTCTCAATTTTGACAAATGCTTTTATGGGGTCACTAATTGAGTTTCATTAAATGTTACTTTTAGGAAGATTTGTTGTGTGTTTTTTTTGTTTGTTTATTCTTTTTAAAAATGCAGCGTATTTTTCATTATTTTATTTACCACTATGATACATTTCTTAAAATAAAGTTTTGAAACATTCAAATAGTAGTTTAGATACAATTTAATAAAGGATCCTTATATGAGACTATGTTAAATTATGAAACTGCATAATTTTTTTTTTTGAAAATACATCTGAAAAAAAAAATTGAAAAATTATTTCGCACCCGTAGTGTTCTTAAAAAAAAACGTAATTTTTTGAGCGTTATCTAACATTTTTTATTTTTCGGGGAACCTCTTTGAAAATTGGCTCAGAGTTAAAAATATCCGGATGGAAGTACCTGTTCGTACAATTTTATTTAAACATCTTATTTATTCAAATAAAACCCCAATTCCTACTATTGCATGATGCGTGTGAGAGAAGAAACAGAAAAACAGCTTGGTCATCGCCGTGCACTATTGTTTTAGTCGTTGACCTGGCTTGTGACAACCAAAAGTCCATAACAATGTTCTTCGTAATCAATATAAGTGGAGCTACTATGTTCTCTTGTACTTCTATATCTTTTTCTAGTAGAAATAGTTCAAAGGCCACGCACGACGCTCATACTTTAATCTTAATCCAAGAAACTTATTGAGTTGACCTCTCGCATTGTCAGTTTCTTTCAAACTATTTTATTATTCTCGCCCCTTGTGTTTTTCTCTCTCATTTCTACCTTAGTAGGAAGATCTAATTTCCTTCGCAAGCATCACTATAGGTAGTGATTTTATGTATCCTTGCATGCCCTCACAGTACATACAGATGAATGTATTCACATTGATGAGGATTTGTCTTTCTGCTTCCTCTATATGCGACTCCTGGTTCGAAATTTATAGTCACACTAATTAATTATTTAATTATGGAAAAAACACTTACACTCTAATACTAAATATGTTTCTTATCAGACTCTTTTGTTACATGAATGTAATGAGTACACAGTTCACGTTAAAAAGGTGGACAACAAAGTTAGCCGAACACGATATTAAAATGGTACTTTTATTAACACATCATCTGCAAAATAATGTCTTATAACATATAATAAAGAAAGTGTTAGTGAATAATAATCACTTGTTATGGGTAACATTTGTTCCATTCATTCGAAAGTTAATAAATGAGATGCATCATAGCACTACTGCTTTTACTCCTATAAAAATTCATGTGAAAAGGATGCCGACTTGATTATTTGAATAGTACCTGCCTTTGATGATGCGAGATAAATTGAGTGGTAAAAGAAAGGTGGATTTGGTTGCAAATGATGTGCCGAAAAGAGGGCAAAAAGGCCGAATGATACAATATGATACACAGTCTAAAAGTATATAATACAAATTATAAGGTTTTAGTGAAATCACGTAAGTTCTTGAGAAAATCGACAAAAATTTTAGCAGAATTTCTGGTTCTGTATGAATGGGTCGTATATAATAACTTATGTATCAAATAATGGCACGTATACAGTGTCTAATTGTAAGATCCATAAATTTCAAGGAACGTCACATGAGGATCATAAGACACAATTACGTCCATTTTCAGAAGCAAATGCAAGGCCATCGATGCAAACGATAGTGATAAAAACAGAAACTAAAACGCATGAAGATGCAGTTACTCTGAATCCAGCAAAGACTGCGACTTTTCAAAAAAATGGAAGGTGTTACGGTGCATGAGGTTTTTGCTAATGCGATCAATCAGAATAATAATGACTTCATTAATCTCCATTTTAACGAGTCGTAGGAGGAGTTAAAAGGCGCTGATACAGTGTAACGTAGGTGACCAATCAATTCGTTAAATTTTTGATGTGAAACATTGTATGGTGGACAGTGGACAGTCAAGTGAGGAGAAATATGCAACGAAAAGTCTGGTCCGCTCCTTCGTTGCTATTTACCCCACGACTGGGGCCTCGTTCTCTCTCTCTCTCTCTCTCTCTCTCTCTATATATGTATANACTTCTAGTTATGCCAATCACATTCTTAAATGTAATCATATTTACAATAACAATTTTAAGATTTAACACACATGTAACAAAGGATTAAAATTAGATGCATTAGAAGCACTAGAAATTAATAAATTAAAAGACTCTAATATCTTATTGAATGACATGTTCAATTTAAATAATTCGCCTCTACTTAATGGAGCTTTGAAATGACCAGTATTATTGGCTATATACGAACTGTATGCATTTATGTGTGTACGTATGAATGTGTGAATGTATGTATGTGTATAGCCCCTGTTATCTGATTGTCGACCATGGTGCAGCGTGTATATTCTTGAGAGAGCGCTGTATATTATCAAGTCTTGATGTACATCTGTCTGACGAAGGTACTGTGATACCAAAACAGCTGTAACATGTTTTTAACGAATAAAGTGAAGATCGACAGTACATAATAAGTCTACTTTTTCATTTAATCTGATATGGATCTTCATCAAGTGAAGACCGATAATATAGAATATGTACATATATATGTACATATTCTATATTATCGGTCTTCACTTGATGAAGATCCATATCAGATTAAATGAAAAAGTAGACTTATTATGTACTGTCGATCTTCACTTTATTCGTTAAAAACATGTTACAGCTGTTTTGGTATCACAGTACCTTCGTCAGACAGATGTACATCAAGACTTGATAATATACAGCGCTCTCTCAAGAATATACACGCTGCACCATGGTCGACAATCAGATAACAGGGGCTATACACATACATACATTCACACATTCATACGTACACACATAAATGCATACAGTTCGTATATAGCCAATAATACTGGTCATTTCAAAGCTCCATTAAGTAGAGGCGAATTATTTAAATTGAACATGTCATTCAATAAGATATTAGAGTCTTTTAATTTATTAATTTCTAGTGCTTCTAATGCATCTAATTTTAATCCTTTGTTACATGTGTGTTAAATCTTAAAATTGTTATTGTAAATATGATTACATTTAAGAATGTGATTGGCATAACTAGAAGTATCTTGTTGTTTTTCGTGGGCATTTTCGTGTTCCTTGAGTCTGAACTTGAAAGCTCTACCTGTATGTCCTCTATATTTCTTATCACAAGAACCACAACTAAGTTCGTAAATACCTGATTTGTTTTCTTTTTCCGTCTGATCTTTATTATTTTTGATAATAATTTGTAAAGTTTGTTTTAACAATAATGGCTATGATTCCAACATTATCGACAAGTTAATTAAAAATATACAGTATAAGAAAGCTATAAACAAAGTTTTCCCTCAGTCCGCAAGAGAAACTGCACCGTATCATGTAATTACTTACGTAGGCAAATTGTCAGAAAAGATTAAACAGCACTTGAAGAAGTACAATATTAACATAGCTTTTAAATCAAACAAAACCTTACAAACTATCATCAAAAATAATAAAGATCAGACGGAAAAAGAAAACAAATCAGGTATTTACGAACTTAGTTGTGGTTCTTGTGATAAGAAATATAGAGGACAGACAGGTAGAGCTTTCAAGTTCAGACTCAAGGAACACGAAAATGCTTACGAAAAACAACTAGATACTTCTAGTTATGCCAATCACATTCTTAAATGTAATCATATTTACAATAACAGTTTTAAGATTTTACACACATGTAACAAAGGATTAAAATTATATGCATTAGAAGCGCTAGAAATTAATAAATTAAAAGACTCTAATATCTTATTAAGTTACATGTTAAATTTGAATAATTCGCCTCTACTTAATGGAGCTTTGAAATGACCAGTATTATTGACTATATACGAACTGTATGCATTTATGTATGTACGTATGAATGTGTGAATGTATGTATGTGTATAGCCCCTGTTACCTGATTGTCGACCACGGCGCAGCGTGTATGTTCTTGAGAGAGCGCTGTATATTATTAAGTCTTGATGTACATCTGTCTGATGAAGGTACTGTGATACCGAAATAGCTGTAACACGTTTTTAACGAATAAAGTGAAG